GCAGGGAAGTCTATTAGCAAAAAAAATCCCTTTACTGACGGGAATTCTGCGCGTGAATGGACGTTTAGCGTATGCTAATGAACGTCACCCGATCATCATTCCAGAAAGTTCAAAGCTCTGTTTTCTGCTGATCGACAACTAATGATGCGAATGGTGCAGCAAGAATATTATATCCCCAGGTTGAAGCAAAAGATAAAAAATGTATTTTTCAGTGCAAGGTCTGCATAATCTATAAAGAAAAGATGCGTTCACAGATAATGGCCGCGCTCCCCCCTGAACGATCTACCTATACACTCCCCTTTCATACCACAGGTGTTGACTTTGCTGGACCATTTCTTGTGAAAACATCTACCCTACGACGAGCTCCCCACGCAAAGGCGTATGTGTGTGTATTTGTGTGCCTTTCCACCAAAGCAGTACACCTAGAGTTATGTTCAAATCTGACCACGGAAGCGTTCAAGGCAGCTTTTACTCGATTTGTCGACCGCCGTGGAATCCCTCACAAAATCATATCCGGCAACGGAAAACTTTCGTAGGTGCGCAGCGAACGCTGCAAAGAGAATTCTCCCAGTTTCTTAAAGAAGCGGCTACTGATATCGCCGAAAAATACGCAACCCGCGGATTTGCATGGCAGTTTATCCCACCGTATGCGCCTCATATGGGCGGTCTCTGGGAAGCTGCTGTAAAAAGCTTCAAAACCCATTTCACAAAGGTAGCCAGATATCACAAGTTTACCTTTGAAGAATTTACCACTCTCCTTATTCGAATTGAAGCGGTGTTAAATTCCAGGCCGCTTTCCCCTATGTCTCAGGATCCTACGGATCTGCTGGATTTAACGCCAGCGTGGTGCCCCGCTCCTCTCTAGGCCTGAACCCCACTCTGACAATCTCTCTTTAGTAAACAAATGGCACAAATTGAAGGTTATTCATCAGCAATTTAGCACGCGCTGGAAAAATGAATATCTCAAGGAACTCCATAAAATGCACAAGTGGAAGCGACAAGAACCCAACCTTAAGGAGGGAGACCTCGTTGTCGTCAAAGACGACTTTCTACCCCCAAACGAGTGGAGACTCGGGCGCGTGGTGAAACTTCACCCCGGTCATGATCAAAATGTTCGCGTAGCTCATCTTTACACTCAAGCCGGAACAATCACTCGAAATATTGCGAAGTTGTGCTTACTGCCCCCTTTATAGTAGCTCTCTTTATATACTTCATGCCTCACTAAACACTACTAATCCACACCTACACCTCCCTCCAGCTGACTCCACCATAGCATGGAACTAATTCCGTCTTCCACAGATGTCCAAGAACCAGATGAAGCTCAGCCAGTGCCGCCTCTGCTGCCGCCATCGTCCGTTGCGGTTTTGCCGCGCATTTCAAGCAATGACGCCTGATGAGCGGTACGAGTCCGCGCGCATACATAAGTACTGCGTCAATTGCTTGGCGACGTCGCACTCAACCGGCTCCTGCAGCTCAGCCGACAGTTGTCACCGGTGTGGGAAGGTGCATCACACAATGCTGCATCGTCCCACGTCATCGCCACCGGAAAGCACTCGCCGTACTGACTCGCATGCAAAAGTTCGCCGTGGACGATCGACGCTGGCCAGCCGTGTGGTCAAACCAGCCGCGAAGCAAGCTCAAAGCNTGGCAGTTTATCCCACCGTATGCGCCTCATATGGGCGGTCTCTGGGAAGCTGCTGTAAAAAGCTTCAAAACCCATTTCACAAAGGTAGCCAGATATCACAAGTTTACCTTTGAAGAATTTACCACTCTCCTTATTCGAATTGAAGCGGTGTTAAATTCCAGGCCGCTTTCCCCTATGTCTCAGGATCCTACGGATCTGCTGGATTTAACGCCAGCGTGGTGCCCCGCTCCTCTCTAGGCCTGAACCCCACTCTGACAATCTCTCTTTAGTAAACAAATGGCACAAATTGAAGGTTATTCATCAGCAATTTAGCACGCGCTGGAAAAATGAATATCTCAAGGAACTCCATAAAATGCACAAGTGGAAGCGACAAGAACCCAACCTTAAGGAGGGAGACCTCGTTGTCGTCAAAGACGACTTTCTACCCCCAAACGAGTGGAGACTCGGGCGCGTGGTGAAACTTCACCCCGGTCATGATCAAAATGTTCGCGTAGCTCATCTTTACACTCAAGCCAGAACAATCACTCGAAATATTGCGAAGTTGTGCTTACTGCCCCCTTTATAGTAGCTCTCTTTATATACTTCATGCCTCACTAAACACTACTAATCCACACCTACACCTCCCTCCAGCTGACTCCACCATAGCATGGAACTAATTCCGTCTTCCACAGATGTCCAAGAACCAGATGAAGCTCAGCCAGTGCCGCCTCTGCTGCCGCCATCGTCCGTTGCGGTTTTGCCGCGCATTTCAAGCAATGACGCCTGATGAGCGGTACGAGTCCGCGCGCATACATAAGTACTGCGTCAATTGCTTGGCGACGTCGCACTCAACCGGCTCCTGCAGCTCAGCCGACAGTTGTCACCGGTGTGGGAAGGTGCATCACACAATGCTGCATCGTCCCACGTCATCGCCACCGGAAAGCACTCGCCGTACTGACTCGCATGCAAAAGTTCGCCGTGGACGATCGACGCTGGCCAGCCGTGTGGTCAAACCAGCCGCGAAGCAAGCTCAAAGCGGCAATACTACGGTCCAACGGCGCATCCGCGATTTATTCAACCGGGCGGTGCTGACCCTCGAGAAGTTGCAAGAGTTGCTCAACCTGTCACCGGCGTAGGCGGGCCGGCATGTTGCGGACATGAGGCCCAATTTAATCGAGTTCGATTGAGTACTTTTTCCAATTATTCAATTAATGCATTTTCCATAATCTGCGTGCGGCTGGCAACGTCACTTACTGTGCACCATTGTGAATGAGTCAGGTGAAATAGGTTTCATGTTGGAATTGTAAGCGGGTTCACGGGGTGACTCGTGCCTGCAATTAAATTGCTAGAATTATTAACGTTTTGAACGCCGTCGCAGCCCCATCGCACCGTTTTTTGCATTTTGTCATAGAACGCCACTCGGGAGAACTTTGTCACTGTTTTAACTATATCGCTACTAAATATCGTTTAAAATTTGATTGAAGGCAATAAAAACATTAATGAATTCATATGCATAATTCAATTCCTCGTCTTTTTATTTCCACGGAGAATAGAATCTCTGGCGCACCCTGCGCTCTCTTTTGCTACTCCAAAAAACAAACAAGTTTATTCTATTAAAAATGGAATGAATGAAAATATCAGTACCAATAGCATAAATTACGCAAGGCACTTGTAAAAAAAATTACCCGCACTATGTGGGTCAGCTGCTAAAAATTTGCATGTATAATTAATTGATTTAAATTTTCTTTTAAGAAATTAAAATTATTGGTACAAAAAATGTTAAATGATCTCATCTCCGTGAATAAGACTGTACCTGCATTTATTTATTTCTTGTTTGTTTTAAAATGTACAAAGTACATAAATGTATGTGCATATGTAAATGTTTTGTATTCGAAACATTTAATCTAAATAAATTAATTGTATGCTTTCAGAATGCTTCTTTGTAATGGAAATTTATTTGGTAGGTTTTAACCGATTTTGGTTGGATTTGGGAAGAAAATTTGTAGGAAAAAAATTGTTAGTGACAACGCTGGATGTTTGTGCTAAATATAGCTTTGTATCGCTGTGCATACGTCGTTTCTTTCTTTTTTCCTTTTCTCTATGCTATATCTTCCTTCTTACTCATGTAACTTTAAGTTTGTTCCACACGAGCCCGCGGATACCCGCGGGTGCCCAAAACAGCCCAGAAAGCTAGAAAAATGGGTAATAGGGAGCGAATACCTTACACTTTGGGATCGTAAATGCCCTCTTCTTCGTGCCCGAAACAGGCCGAAATGTGCAAGAAGTCAATTTGAAATAACAGCTGTTGTTTGTTTACATCCGATAGCAAATTTTGTAAAATACAAAAATGCAAAATAGCACTAAAGGTTCAGAAATGTAGGTATTTGCTAATTTTATTAGCTATATAAGATAAATATATGTACATAAAATCATTGTTTAGAACTGATTTGTTGATTCTGGGCACGAAAAGTGTTTTTTTGCGTTCCTTACGCTCTAATTACCGAAACACCCCGGAAAGCGTGTGGAACAAACGTATTTTGAGTTTTAAAAATTTTACTTTCATTTTTGCGATACCGCCGCCTAAGAAGTTTCACTTCAAAAATTAATTAAATTGACTATAAAATGAAGGCTCCAGTGAATTGTGAACACAAAATGCCAATTTTTAACCACTGTGCATTGGTAGGTAAGGTCATGCCAACATTTTTATTCTTTACTATGGAAGCCAGATAAATTTTCCTTACAACTTGTGAATCCCCATATTTTTTCCCGCCAACGTAGACCGCCGTCGAGTTGTCCGTGAACTCGTGGGGATCTACTTGGACCACTTTGGGAATCACCGGTGTAAACTCATTTTAAAATGAATGACCAAAAATATTATTTATTTTATATAAATATAATTTATATACCAAAATATTTTCAAAAGCATGTACTCTGGCGTTTTATAGTATTTTCTGTTACTTACATTTATAATTTTGCTTTGAATGAATGTGTACTGAAAAGTACTGATGTACATATATAGCATGAAAAATTGTAATTACTGATTTCGCGTAAAAAAATCTGGAAACCCTACAGATCTACCACAATTGTGGTAAAGTGGCAACACTGATATATATTCTAAATATAGATTAATTCGACCATAGATGCAGAGTCTCGGAAAGCTTTTTGCTAAGCTATTTCCTTTTATGTATGTAGGTAATATACATAAATTTTAAATATGAACTAAATCGCACCATATTTCTACTCCTGAGCCAGTTTTGAAATTACGAGTCTCTAGCTCATTGGGAAGTTGGGACTCAAACAAATATACTTACATAAATATGTTTTTCTTAAATACAAAGCAAGTTAAATAAAAGCTTGCAAAAACGTAAATACTTACTTTCATGTACTTGACTGGAAATAAAAGTCTTAATAAGCGTATCCGTCATTTGCGTGTACAAACTTAAAGCATATCGCAGGCTTTGCAGCTCTGGTGATTTTTCAAGGAATGTCTTTTTGAGTCCATTGCCGCCAGCATGAAAATATTGCTTTATGGTATCTAAGGCAACATCTAATACAGCACATTGTTTGGGTGATAAATTCTTCTCCACCTCCTTGGAGATATCCATCACACCGCTAAGGGCACTCTTCACATCTTGCTTACCAGCCATATGGCTTTTGAATAGTCTACCCATGTCTTCGATTTTGGCATTCGACGCAAGATTCTTAGCATTATCTGTTAGATGCTTAAACATCATCTGTTAAAAAGAAAGTAATTAAGGAAAAATAGAAATCTCTACAATATATAATCACGTACAGTCTTATCAGTCATTGGAGGCAACACTATAGTCTTTTCTAGAATACGCATTACAATTTTCCAAAGCTCTTTGAGCAACCGTTTCAGTACTGTTTTTTCACAGGACTGAGCATAGAGCGTTAGAGAGCCATCCAATAAATCCATTAGTGGCCTAAGTACTTCATCGGCTTCAACAGCCACCGCATTTCGCTGTGCCGCTTGATTGGAATTAATGTTGCCGCCACCTTTTATAGAGAGCAGCAGATCTCCCAGTTCGCGCACTGACTGTGTGATCCGTGGCTCGAGGCTGTTGAAAATTTAATAATTACAATATTATTTTGTTATTAAGTAAGTAACTGTAATGTTTGGAATTCAGATAAGGTGGCTGATAAGCAGCTGATTTCAATGAAAATTGCGCTGATTGCCAAAAATTATGTCTTTGTTCTAAGATTGTTGAATTCTTATTGTCATTGTTTTTTTCAGTCTTAGCCCCTCAATCGGTAATAACACGGTCACAGATATCACATATAAATTTGGTCCCGACTGCACACGATTAAGGCGTGTCGCACAGGGGGCAAAATACAGATTCCTCTATAGAGACTCAAAAAATTAAATTATTATTTTATTCATTTAATACCCAAAATAGTTACTACCATAGTCGAAGATATCACATAAAAATTTTGGTCCCGATTGGAGTCGGTTAAGGCATGTCGCAAAGGGGTCAAAGGCCAGATGCCTCTATGGAGACTAGAGATGTTAATCCCGGGATCCCGGCCTTTTATAAGTGCCGAAAATCCCGGGATTATTTGCCTAGCATCCCGGAATTTTCGGGAGTTGTAATTTGCAATGGTGGCAATAATAGAAACGCCTTATGTTGACCTGTTTTTGCTATATTTCTTTTGTTTAATTAATACTTACTTTTATAAATGTCTAGCTAATTATACATACACATAACACCGTGCGACAGGCAATTTCACACACGAAAAAATCAATAGTGGTATTCACCAAATTGAGCAACAACATTCGTTGCTTGAGCTCATCTGCCCTTTTGCCAGACTGCCAGGCCACTTGCTCAATTTGGTGAATACCACTAATATATTCGCAAGGCCATGCCAAATATATGCAGTAAAATTGCGTTTTTTGTTTTCTCTCTGACGCCAGGATTTTTAAAAAGACTTTGAAAATTGAATAATATGAGTAATTCAGAAAATGGTGTAAAAAATTAGTGCAATGTAGTTTCTGGCCGTCTCCACAAGATAAACTTGTTTGCTGTCCAGCTGTCATTTTGGTCGCTAGACATAAGTTATATCAGTGGCAATATTCGTGTGGGCTTTTCAGATCTTGATATAAGCAGTTGTGAGATAGCTTCGAAAACGTATTTTTTCCGAATTTAATCGCTTAAAAAATTTCGATCCAGATCTAGCTGGACGAAAGTCAAAATTTCATTTGTTTTTAAAATACTTTATGGTACTTGGAATACATTCCTAACCACACATTTAAATAGAAATTGCATTTATTAAAGTAATAAACACATGGAAATAAAACGAAAAGGTAAGTCAACGCCGCATATTTGAGAAATCTATTTTAAAAAGTGAAATTTAACTTAAAAGTTTGCTAATCGCACTCAAAAATATTTGCATAGTTGCAAATTGATTTTATAAACTAAAAATTACACTTATTTCCCTATAAATAGATTCAGAGGTCATAACACAATTTATGTCTACTTTAGTACAGGTAAATTTATACTGCAAATTCGTCGTTTTGATTAATTAAAAGAAATGAATTAAAGTGTAGGAAAAGGCCGCTGAACACCGTCATAAAACCACTTGTATGTTATTCTTTACACCTTCGTTAATGCAGAGGTTAAGTTCGATAACCATGTTTAACCAATTGGCTTAGGGCTTTCCGTTGATTTTTGGCAATTTTTTTTTTGTTGACGATGTCAGTAATTTCCTTTTATACCTATTAAAGTATGGTTCATGGTGTAAACGTATGCTGTGATGGCTCCAGTACGACTGCTCTTTATTAGCTCTTTCAAGTACCAACTAAAGCTAAATATAATACATGCATAATGGAATACATTTTACCAAAAGGGAGAGTCTAGTAAATAGATAATACAGGGTGATGTGTATATACAACATCTTCCTTTTTTTATATAAAAGATNTTTTTTTTATATAAAAGATAATGTTTTTTAGATACATATAGTTTGTACATATGGTTTTTTTTTATTTATTCAAAATTCAATATTTTTGGAGGCTTTACATTTCGTCCTGCTTTAGTAACATATAATCCATCTCTTTTATCTTTAACAACTTTAGGGGTTTCCTTACTAACAGTATTTGGAGCATTAGACTTTATTTGTGAATATTTATCTTTATTTTGTAGTTCACTTTCAATCGATTCCTGTACTTCTTTGTCTTTTTCATTTGTATCTACTTCATTTAACAATTGCTTATCATTTAATTTCAAAATGGGCTCCCTGTTCCTCCTGTAACTTGATCCGTCTTTATCTATTACAATGTAGGATCTTGGTTCTTTACAAGTTTCTGCTATAGTACCTGGAGTCCAATAGGACGTTGGTGTTTTTCTGAACATGACACTTTCGCCTTGGCAAAGCGGCTCTAAGTACTTTTACCTTTTATTATAATATTCAGCAGACTTCAATTTTTGATCATTTATTTGTTTTTGATATTTTTGCATATTTACAACTTTTGGCTTAAAATTTTTTTCTATTGAAGGTAGTTTTGTTCTCAACTGTCGCGACATCAACAACTCTGCAGGGCTAGGTAGTCCTGATTTTGGTGTTGTTCTGTAATGGAGCAATCCAATATAGGGATCAGATTTACTTTCTAAACACTTTGCCAGCATCTTTTTAATCGTTTGAATTGACCGCTCAGCCATTCCGTTCGACTTGGGCAAATATGGACTGGATGTCGAGTGTTCTATTTGCCAATCCTGACAAAACGTTTTAAATTCTTGTGAATTAAAGGGTGGTCCATTGTCAGATATTAACATTCGAGGCACACTAGCATATCTAGCAAAAACAGATTTCATTTTGGTTATGACTAGACTACTTGAATAACCGCTTGATAATATTTCAATCTCTACGTATTTAGAAAAGTAGTCTACAATTAATAGATACGTTTGTCTATTGAATTCAAACAAATCGCATCCTAATTTGTACCAGGGTATATTTATAATCTCATGAGAAAAAAGTTCTTGCTGTGGATTGGCATTTCTGTATTTAATGCAAATCTCGCAGTTCGAAACTACATTAAAAATGTCGTTGTTTATATTTGGCCAATATACTGACTGTCTAGCCAGACCTTGGCTTCTTTTAATGCCTAGATGGCCTTCATGTAAATTTTTAAGGACCGATTTTCGTAAGGCAGTTGGCACCAGAATTTGATTATTTTTTAAGATTATGTCATTAATTATATGAATATCGTCTTTAATTTTGAAATATGGTGCAACTTCTGAATCTATTAGCTTTTTGTTTCGTGGCCAACCACTTTTAATGTAATTCTTTATCTTTCCAAAAACCGTGTCTGCTTTTTGTTTTTCTTTAATCTCATTAACTTTTGAATCTGAAAATGGAAGTTGTGTCAGCAATAAATTGCAATGTAACGAAAGATCTTCTTCCATGTTTATGCCGGCTTTATTTGTAAGGGGTGCTCGTGAAAGTGTATCTACTATATACAGAAATTTTCCTGGTTTGTACTGGACTGATAGATCGTAATACTGAAGTTGAAGCATGAATCGCTGCAACCTTGCCGGAATCTTATAAAGCGGTTTTTTAAAAAGGTTCACCAAAGGTTTATGGTCAGTTTCTACAGTGACTTTCATACCGTACACATACTGGTGGAACTTAGTACAGCCATACAAAATTGCATAAAGCTCCTTTTCAATTTGTGCATAATTGACTTCACAATCCGTCAGTGATGCTGAAGCATAGGCTATCGGATGTTTGTCATGCATTATACACGCACCTACCGCAAACTTGGAGGCATCTACAGATAAAACTAATTGCTTTCCTGTATCAAAGTAGGTAAGAACTGGTGCATTAGTTATAGCTTGTTTCAAATTATTAAATTCTTTTTCGTGCATATCACCCCAGTGCCAAACTACGTCTTTTCTTAGTAAATCACGTAAGTTTTTATTTTTAGCTGCTAAATTTTCTATGAATGACCCTAAATAGTTTATCATACCCATAAATCTTTGTAATTCTTCTATTGACTTTGGTGCAGGAATGGCTTTTATGGCTTTTATTTTTTCATTATCCGGACTTACACCATTTTTATCAAAAATATGACCTACAAACTTTATTTGTGTTACTCCTATTTTGGACTTCTCTTTATTGAATTTTAGCCCAACAGCTTTTGCTCTGTCAAGTACCGCTAATAAGATGGTATTATGCTTTTCAACAGTGTCTGCATATATTAAGAAATCGTCTATATAGATAATAAGGCCTTCAATATCTTCAAATAGTTTCACCATTTCACTATGGAATATTTCTGGTGCCGCATTTATGCCGAATGGCACCCTTAAAAAGCGATATCTTCCAAAAGATGTATTGAATGTGCATAATTTCGATGACTCTTCCTCCAATAGGACCATCCAAAAACCTGAATTTGCATCTAACGTACTAAAGAATTTAGCGCCGCTTAGTCTAGCTTTACAGTCTTCTACATTAGGAAAAGGAAAATGTGGTCTTAGAATAGCTTCATTCAAATGACGAGGATCTAAGCATACTCTTAATTTACCATTTGGTTTTTTAACGAGAACTATTGAGCTCACCCATTCAGTTGGTTCAGACACAGGTACTATAACTTATAAATCGACCATTCTTTTCAATTCATGTTTTAAATCAATTTGCAATCGAAATGGTATTTTTCTTGGTGGATCAATCACAGGAGGTATACTTGTATTTAATTTCAATTTACAGTTTTGTTTCAAGAGGCCTAAACCAGTAAAAATTTATGCATACTTTTCAAAAATTGTATTTGTGCTTTGTATTACATTGACTTTTTGAATAAGATTCATATTGATGGCTGTATTTAAACCAATTATATTTTTGCAAGGCATTTTAAGAATATGACAATTTTCCGAATACTGGTTATCTTGAAATACAAAATCAATCTTTATAATACCAAAATGCTGCAGTTTTTCACCACTAAAAGTTAGTAATTTAATACATGATTTTTTAACTTTACTATTTAGATTCAAAATTTGTACAATTTTTTCTGAAATAATATTTGTTTGAGCTCCAGTATCTATTTGAAAACTATAAATTTTATTATTTATCA